CTATTTAAGTCATTTTTCAATATTTTTTAGGTTATGTTATTGGAAACTTTTAACCCCAACTTTATCACACACATTCTTGAGTAGATTTAGTTTAGAAAAATATTAAAGTGTGTATCTTGACGATCCGGAGTCGAATCCACTTCAATCGGAGTTGACAAACTGTGAGATTTTTGTTCTTCTTCTCTCTTCTCTTTGTACCTTCTATTTGTTGGGATTTTGTATGTAAGTTTATCTTGATTGTATGTATATTTATGGATCTCTATATAAAATCTCTTTTGCAACTCGTAATCGATGTCATCTTTGATTTAATCTCTATCTTAATGGGTTTGATTTGCTATAGACATATACTTTTCGAACTCGACCTAAGATGTATGTCTATTGGTTGTGAAAAGCGGTCTAATATTCATGTATGTGTCGAATCTTAATGCTCCGTGTTGTTTAGTTGCGTGAGACATCACTTTCGAAAGAATGCAGTTGTTCTCTCAACGATTGTGTTAGATATAACCTCTTGTTGTGAGCAATACGTGAAAACTTTGACGAGTGATTTAAATTGCGTACATTTGATCCATAGATTTTTTAATATATGATGAGTAGAACGCACAACTCCTAACGAATTTTCTCGTGTCTTAAGGATGTATTTATTTTCTTATCTTATGTTTTTCTTTTGCAACTTACTCTTTAAAACCATTCGAACCCAAGCTTAGAGACATAGAGATTGTCGAACAACATTTTTTTCCTCACACCAATCTTTGTGGAGACGATATAAATTACGAAAAAAATTCTTTCAAATCTAACTTTTACTTATTGCCGCTATATTGCAGTTCAAACAAAATACCACTGAGCAATGGCTACAGTCATCATCCCTAAGCCAAAGTTACAGTAAAAACATCTCTTCGACGATAAACAGGTCTAGGATAGGTTGCATTAAATTTGACATGAACTTAAGTGTGAAAAATAATGAATATGAGCAATCATTTCAGCTTGAATGATTACATGATTACATGATGGGATTAATTTCACTCGTCACGCACTCGCCACATTGTCGTCAATCAGAAGCTTGTAGTTATAGAAATGTGCAAATATTGAACAATCAAAATTATAACAATAACTGGTAGCTCTACATGTACAATCTAAGAAAATGCTGCTCAGTTCAAGGAATAGTTGTCAAAACTGACGGGCACTATTCAGCTGGCCAATTTGGAAAACAAAATTGAATCACAAATTCGGTTATCACCCTCGAATGTTTTTATGTACTTCTATATATTCGCTTCGATGAATTCTCGGTATTCTCTCTTCATTTTAACGCCTGAAACAGTCCTGCAAAATTAATGTAAATCATCAGCAGTCATGACTAGAAAGAATATCCATTAAGCAAGTCACAATTGCCTCTCAATCTCTTTAGAATAAAGATGACAATTAGCAACTTTAATTGGTGTGTATTTCTACAGTGATAAGAATTAACGGTTAATGTTTATTTCTTGGTGGAAACGCAACCATATATCTTAATGGAGATGATAGATAATAAGTATAAGAGAAAAGATCAAGCAGTACTAACTTAAGATTCTCCTTGTTTTTAAAAAACTGCACGCACGGAGTACCCATGATTCCAGCTGCTTCTGCTATTTCTGGATCTTCCTCTATATCAATTTCAACAAAATGTACACTCTGATCATATTCATCAATTACCTGCCACGGAAAATTTTGGAAAAACATTATTATTGTTCAATATAAGAGTGAGAATACTATCAAAAAAAGGAAGCAAAAGTAGTTTCATTTAGTTACTGAGTCATGCATCATATAACCACTAACGTTTTCTCTTATATGAGATACATGTTATTACATTAAGATTGCTTCGTGTTTTAAATGTCAAATCTTGAGCATGCAGAAACAGTGTGACCCTTGTATCGGACTGAGTTTAGGGAAGAACTGAAGGATAGTGAAGTCCTTGCCAAGATCTTTGCTGATGAACTGGTAACTAATCCACCAAGGTTGCGAATATAAAGTTCAAAGATGTTTTCGGTTTTGCAAAAGTAGAGGCTACTGAAATCAAAACTGTTGGGTTGAAACCGAAGTTTGAACTTGGTTTACATTGAAAGATTTACACAAAAGAGGTACATAATGAAAATGCTTCGGAAATTCCATTTTCTACTTCCATGATTCAGCAACCAGTGACAACAAGATCTATTGTGAAGCCCGATCTAGTACTTGTGTGTGGAAAGAGTAAGTGTAGTGGTAGAACATTGATTGAGTGATTAGCAGAATTCAGGTAGGAGGAAGCAAATATTAACAAACAGCAGCACTATTTCTTCTGCTAGAAGGGTTGGGAAGTGGCAGCAGCTGTTAAAGTGTTCTTTTTTCCTTCCTTGAAGACAAGGAAGAATTTTGAGTGGGTGGTATTGACAGGTCCCTGATCTACACATATAGGAGGAAGGAGTGTTTGCTATAGTGAGAGTTAGAAAGTGGAGTCTAATATATAAGGGAGAGAAGAGGATAATGAGGCATAATGAAGAAGAATACACTGTCACAGTTTCATAACAATTAATTAATGTGGCATATGGACCACATTCTTATGCCGCCGACATATGTGTGTCACATGGCACTACTTTGCATTTTGCTTGAATAACAAAAGACAATTGTGTATTCATACTTCATTTTTTGAAAGAACGCATGTATCATATCACTGGCTAAGAATACCATGTCCATGAGTACTATGATATCTAACTTCAGGATAGCATAAATTTAAATTCATCCTTCTTTAACATACCTTACTAAGGATTGGCTTCAGTGTCCGACATGGACCACATGTTGGTGATGTGTATAATACACATATAAGCCTTGGACTATCATGATACAATTTTCGCAGAGCATACTGTAAAGAGAAAATCATACAGTAGAAAAAAATGTATTATAATACAATCCTATGCTAAGAATCAAATAAAAAAGGAACTAATTGGAGATAACATATGCTAAGACTTTAATCTCATTAGCATAACAGCCTGATAAGGAATACATACCTGCCCCTTATGCTTTGTAAGTGTAATGTCAAAGCCCGCGTGAACATCCCTGTCTGTTAGTTCCTTCTTAACCTCTTCATGTTTTGGCTGTTACAAGAATTAAATCGGAAGGGTGGAATTCATATTGGAATATACAGCATGAATGAATCAACTGATTTAATGCAAAGTCACTTCCCCATTATTTTTTTACTAACATTTACTACCAACAGCGTTTTCCAGCTATAAATTAAAAACTTATGGCAATAGGGAAATGATTATTGTATATATCACAAGATAAATATAACAGTTTAGTATATTATTCGTCATAATTTCTTAAGATTATGTCCTTCCTTTAAAAATATCCTGATTCCTGAAGAGCAATAGATAACATGTTACTCAGTAAAACAACTTACAGTTAATTGTTTTTACATAGCTTTTTAAATGCCAAAGGTGGTCTGTATTAATTTCTTTTAAAGGAATATGTTGTGTGCTGTGCGCATTTTAGTTTCTGTGTTTCTCTGTCTAAATCTGCCGCTGCAAAGGGGTACCCGTTCAGCACCACATCATGTCACCAAATTATGATTTAACTTCATGTTGATGAGATGAGAGAAGCTAGTATTGCTCAAAGCCAATAAATTAAGAACATGAATAATAAAGATAGAGTAAATTGAAACTGTGCTGTGAACAACTCATCCTACAATGCTATATACAGACGAAAAAATAAATGCATGCATGATTGGAGTTCTTAGAACTAAAATACCTGATGGAACTCAATAAGAAGACCACTGCTGACGAGATATCTCTCAACTGATAAAGCTGCAATGCATCCAGATCCAGCAGCAGTTACGGCTTGCCTCCATTCGTGGTCCTATCAAAATAAAAAAAATAACCTTAATAAAGGCGCCTAAGCAGTAAACCCTTTTTTCATACGAAATATAATATCAGATCGCAATATAATTCAGATGCTAAATGGCTCAATAGATTTGCATAATCATTAACCAAAATATATGTGGTGTGCTTATCAACAGCAATTGTGGTCATTTTAAGGGAAGGGGTCCAAATTATGTCACCTAAAATGGCATTTCAAGAATTTTATGAGGCTCTATCAACAAATAATAGCAAAGCCTAATTTCACCAGGTGGAGTTGGCTACGAAGATCAAATGATGTCATCATGCTGTGACAGTTAATGAAATGGTATAACATATACTAATACGAAGTTGGTCAACTGGTGCCCTATTTTTGCACCTGTTCCTTAAAATGAGCATAGCCAGAGAGAATTGTTATAAAAGAGCATAGCCAGACAGATGGAATGATCATCAGCCTAAGAAATTTCATGACAAGCAATAGAACAAGCAAGCTTCAGCCTTCTCAAACTTGCATCTGGAAGCTTTAAGCCAATAGTACCTAGAATATTTGATCTGTAAATAAGTTTGAGAATTGCTTCTGTGACAGAGATGAGGCCGATGCACCTGCGATGAAGATGGGTACAGTGCTATGGGGTGAAAGTTGAGTCTAGAGCATCTAAGACAAAATACTTAACACTAATCCCTATTTATAGGGAAACATAGTCAATCCTAAATAAATAGGGAAATCGGAAAATAAAGAAGACAATGTAATATAGTAATAGAACCGTAAAAGAACTGCAGTCAATGAGTGAAGGAACTGAATCTGTATTGATAATACACACATTCTCTGAATCCATACCAAGGTGATACTGAACAGAGATCAATAGCATTGCAGAATAAAAATTATAAGGTAAATTCCACTTTCTCAAACATTTGAGAGATTTGAAATCTCCTTTCTATCTTTCTTGTAAAACAAATGGTAACCTCCAATGACTCTCCCTGACAGTTTTACAACTACTTACTATGTACAAGTGCAACGACCAACTAAACAGTTACTACGGTTATTCTGTGTTGTATTATTCCCTGTCTCATAATAACGATCACATTTGCACACAAAATTTCCCTAAAAACAGCGTCAGCTTTAGTTTCCGATGTAATTTTATTACATATTTTAAATTGTACCCTCTAATTAATATTATATACACCACAACGAGGTTACTATTCTCCGCTTTACATTTATGAGATAATGGAAATACACCAGTGGCAAACATGGGTAAACTAATAAAATCCTTATTCTCTCTTTCATTTACCATCTTTTCTTAAATGTGTGTAAAATGATTGATTGAGACAGCTATTGTGGGACAGGGAAATAATTGTTGTTTCTACTCCCTCTTACTGTTCCAAATATAGTCTTTCTTCATAAGTCATAAAAATCAAGTATATTAGCAAAGAGTATCCAATAGGTTACCTGCACATCTCCAGCAGCAAATAAACCTTCAACTGAAGTTTTTGCAGTGCCCTCTTTAACAAGTAAGTAGCCAGACTGGTCAAGTTCAACTTGGCCTTTCAACAGTTGGGTATTTGGTGAATGGCCTATGCCGTAGAATAGCCCTTTGGCCTCAAGCACAGACTCCTCCCTAGTATCCAGCTTCCTTACTAAAATGCCAGACATTTGTCCTTTTGTATTGCTTACAATATCCACGGCCTCTGTATTGAAGTGCACGGTGACATTTGGATTGTCATACACTCTGAAACATTCGTGATAATCAACCTGTTAAACAAACATTCAGGAGTTGAAAACTCACATACAAAATGTTCATTAGTAGATAATTCACCGTCTTAAAGAAGTCCAAATAGAAAACTCCACGACATACTGACAAGAAATAAGAAAAGAAGTAGTACATAATACAAAACTCTTTTTTTCCCTTTTACAAACCCAGAATTTAACAGAACCCAGCCCTGGGTTGAGTATAGTCTAGAGAATACTCAGAATGCCTAGACAAAGAAGATAGTTTTTATCATGTATAATGTAAAAGATATACACTCTAGCCCACTAAACATATAACAGAATCCAGATATATAATCTCATTGCAGGAGTTCACGACACCCTGTTAAATGACAATTTAGACAAGAATCCAGTAAATCATTTAGCAAGCTCGAGCTTTTGGGGGATACGGAAAGAGAATGACCATGGTTTGCCATGTGAGAAGAGATTTATGATTAAACATGTTAAGTTATTAGGATAAATATAATTTTTCTTTCTTCTACACTAAAAGCCAAAATGTAATTTTTCTTTCTTCTACACTAAAAGCCAAAGCACAAAGATGTTGGAGGAGTTTATCACTAGGGAGCATTGAACATTGGGTCAAGAGCAACACAAGTGAGAGAGACACCACATATTCACCTAAAACCTTAAGGTGATGGGTGTATGGGTTCTCCCACTAATAAATGTTCAACTCTCCACAATTATAACCAATGTGGAACTCCAACTCACACTTGACATATTATTATTCTCAACACTCACCCTTCAAGTGTGAGTTCACAATGCTTCCCCTCAAGTGGAAACTTTTGTGGAAACTCTTGTCGACATGCACTTGTACCGCCATTGACACTTATTACTAGGCACCTCTCTAGGCATTTCGATATACCTCTTCCTGGGCATTTCGATACAAGTAAGTCGGTCCTTTTACGAACCAAGGGCTCATGATACCATTTGTTAGAAGAGTTTATCACTAGGGAGCATTAAATATTAGGTCAAGAGCAACACAAGTGAGAGAGACACCACATATTCACCTAAAACCTTAAGGTGATGGATGTATGGGTTCTCCCACTTATAGATGCTCAACTCTCCACAATTATAATCAATGTGGGACTCCAACTCACACTTAGATATTATTATTCTCAACAAAAGAAACCTTCATGTTTAGGAAATGCTTTTCTAGTTAATTATATCCGTTGTCATCACCAATAAAAATTATTGACATAAAAATAATGCCCAACAAATCCCTAAATAGTAAAAAATTCTGACCACCCATCAAATGTATAATGCATATGAAAATAAAAAGACCAAAAAAACAATGTTAAAAAATGAAGCAAAAACAAAGGGAAAGAAAAAAATATACTTTACAAGTTGTATAACCTCAAGTAAACATAAGGTGGAAATTGAAAGAGGGAAAAAGACATATTATGACTAAAAAAAAAATATGAAGGTCCAAGGTTAATAGTAGAAAGCCTTTGCCACAGCTCGTGCCTTTACAAGATTAATCTAACAAAATTTGTATAAAGCTCCAATTTTTCATAGGAATAATGTATATGTCAGGGAGGGAGAAAGAGGCAGTTGATAAACTAAAATGGAAACATTATTAAGTGTATAAGAGCTGGTAATTATATAAGACTACTTCAAATTATATATTACTCCCTCCGTTTCAAAATGACTGTCGTTTTAGGGGAAAATTTTTATTTCAAAATGAATGTCATTCTCACTTTTCAATGTAGTAATAATTGCTATTATTTCAATTGTGTCATTTAATTATTACTCTGTACACTATTTCCAACACATTAATAAGACTAATTTAGTAAAAGTGCAATATTTTATGACAATATCATTACATTTCTTAATCTGTGTGCAAAAACCTTAAACAACAGTCATTTTGAAACAGAGGGAGTTAATAGTAGGATTAGAATTAGATTATTCACATGTATGATCACTTTAAATTTTAATATACATTGCATAGTTATTTATTCATTTACAAAATTATAACTAGTCAGCTACCGAGTAGAGAGATGAGAAATATTAATCGGACACACCTATCTTGCATAGCTTTAGAAGCCCTTAGTTGGTCCCGGCGTACAAGTAAGTGAACATGACGAGCATATTTTGTCAAGTATAACGCTTCCTCTGTAGCTGTATCCCCCCCTCCAACAACAGCAAGAATTTGACCCTTAAAGAGAGGTGATGCTCCGTCGCAAATTGCACAAGCACTAATTCCTCGACTCCAAAATTCATCTTCTCTGGGTAGCCTAAGTCGTTTTGCAGTTGCTCCAGTAGCAAATATTACAGTATGGCTCTTTACCTGAACGTAATCAAGAAAAGGTGATATACAACATTGCAACAACTTTTCTTCCAAAGAAGCCCAACTAGAAAGATATTTTAATTACAGAACAATTAGATGTCAGAACTCCTATATAGCAGGATAAGAATTGGTTATTACTGTCTTTGATAGTGTCAAAATTCATAATGTACATAAAACAAAAGTGATGGCAATGATTCAGCATATAGTCGGTAGTTTTGATGACTTTCCAGATTCATATTCTGAAAAAATAATAAGTCAATCTCCAAATACATTAATGAAAGTGATTAATATCACAAAGAAGATTAAAGAAACAATTCATTTAAAAGTTACAATCCCAAACCATTTCTATGCAGTCATTAAATTGTAAATAAGCTTGCTGCTAATGAATATATCACCTTACGTTCACTGCTTTGGATAGTAAAAGGACTACTATTCACATCAATAGCTTCAACGTCTTCATGATGCAACTCTGCTCCCCAACGTTCAGCCTGCCGTCGCATCCTAGACAAGTAGAAAATTTCTGAACTCTGGAATTTCTATTATAAACTACAAAGTAACATTGGTTTATAACATGCATACAATACCTGTCCATTAGATCAGGTCCAGTAATCCCATCTGGAAATCCTGGAAAGTTCTCTACTTCAGTTGTAGTCATCAATTGTCCCCCAGGAACACCACCCATTTGATAACCCTCAAACACTACAGGTTTCAAATTGGCTCGTGCAGCATATATTGCTGCTGTGTATCCCGCAGGACCTGAACCTATAATTACCACATTCTCAACTCCTTTTCCTGTTATAAGAAGAAAAAAACGCCAGTCAACTTTGCTTATTTTTCTAATGAAAAAGAAAAACCAGTAACAAGAATTACATCGGTGTGCAATAAGAAAGAACTCAGCCCCAGAACAAACAAGTCAATAACTTTGCTTCTCAAAAGACAATTATATTTCTATGGGAAGAAACTTAAAAAAACAATATACAATGTCATTAAATGCTAGCAGGTCAACCCTATCATTGATCCAATAAAATGCACCAAACAGATAAAAATAAACAAAAATAACAATGACTACTGCGACATAGCTGCAACCAGTCCCCACATGGAGAAGCTAGGACACTTAAACAATCACACTAGTTGAGCTTTCCATTACGAAAATCCATAATCATATTCAAAACTCTGCGTGTTGAATACTTCCATTTGAAGTACCTATTCTCAATATTAATAAAGTAGAACAACAGCAACTTATCAATCTCCACTGCTTCTACTACTTAAGCCATCTCCAAATTCTTTAACATTCCGTTCCTATATGAAGCACCGACACATCCACCAGACAAGATATAAACACCGACACGAGGATACTGGCAATAATTTAAGAAAATATAAATGGCCAGACATCCGATCCAACTCGTCTTCAATCATATGTACTACATACTCTCAAACTCCCCGCCTTAAATTCAATTAGACGTTAAAAATAGGCGTTAACTCCACCAATCCAACACAACAAATCAATTAACCAATTTGATAACTAAACAGGCTACTCAACAAACATTAACAATGTAGGTTTATTTCCAACGTTGCCACAATTTACTCTTTTATTTACATTCATCAATATCCACTATAACTGAATTACAATTTAACCTCAAGCAAGAACAGGCAAAAACAATTCATCGCAATCTCGTTTACTCCGACACTTCACAACAAAGCATAAGTCTTAAAAAGCAAGGGTTAAATTCACCGATAACGCTATTTCGAGTAAGAGTCGCATTAATTCACCATAATTCAAAAGCGTAGAGAGAGTGATTACAGCAAGTAATTAACCTGGCGAGGCGACAAAGGAGGAGGTAGGAGGAGTCTCGGAAGAGGCTCGGAGTGTGAGAGAAGAAAGACGAGTTCGGATGGAGCGGCGTGAATTGATGAAGATGAAACGGTGAGGCGGAGGACTTGCGGCGGAGGAAAGAGCGGCGGCAGTGGTGACTCGGTGAGTGGGAACAGTGGCCACTCCGAGTCCTATCTTCGCAGTAGCCATTGGTTCTTTCAGACCATACAATCAGCACAACAGAGTAAGAGATTAAAAGCGGCGTTTTGGCGTTTGTGGATCACGCGTTTCAACAAAATTCCTTCAACAACATTCAGTAGTTTTTTTTTTCTTTTTTTATTAATAAAATGTCAGAGTGTCCAAAAATGAAAAACTACACTGAATCAATAGAGAAAAAGAAATATCTGACAAATTATTTTCAAAAAAAAATAATTAATACACATCAAAGAGATAAAAAAATTTCTGAAGCTCAATATCATTTTTTGCTAGCGCATCCGCACACGAATTAGCTTTCCTATGCACATATTTAACAAAAAAAAAATCCTTATTATAGGATAATAAAGATTTAATTTTGGTGATGAGACTCTTTCCGATACTACTACTATTGTTGTTGGAGTTAATCATCTCCATTACTAGTTGAGAGTCAATGTTAATTTCAATAGCCTTGAAACCCAACCTAATAGCAAGTTGAATACCTTCATAAACTTTATATAATTCTGTCATGAATTCATTACATATATCAATCTTTTTGGAGAAACCTCTTAACCATTCTCCTTCATTTCCTCGAATAAGCCCTCTATAAGTCGCATACCCTTTATTATTCTTAGCTCCATCAGTATTTAGTTTTACACATCCTATGGGAAGAAACACCCACCGGATAAACTGAACTTCCCTTTGTTGCTGTAAAATGATGCTTGAAGCCAATTTTGCACTCCCATAATCGCTAAACATCTTCCTAACAATCATCTACGGGCAAGAAGGTCTACTAAAATAATCATCATAAGTCTCTTTATTGTGCCATCTCCAAAGAGTATAGCAAGAAGTAACCCACAAAACCTTCCAATCATCTCTTCATTTCAACCATAATTACTTCTTAAATTCATCTTGGTTAAGCTCTCTAATGTTCCAGAGAAAAAGCTAGCTTTACTTTTAACGTGGACAATTTTCATTCAAAGCTGCATAACCTTAGGACAATCCCTAAGCACGTGCAAGGTATCTTCCTCCACGTCCTGACAAAAATTGCACATGGCATTTCCTAAGAAACTTCTTCAAGTTAGTGAGCAACTCATTGTAGCGGAAAAAATTGAGATTAAGCTATTTATTAACTTAACTCACAAAACAAAAGTCGCCACCGCACTTTTATTTTTCCAAAGGAAAGGGAAAAGAGCGAACAAAATCTAAAGAATTTGTAAAAACTAAAACTAACAAAAACAGAGACAAGGGTAAAGGGGTTGGTTACGCAAAGGGAATGTGTTAGCACCCAAAACGTCTATAGGACTCTATAGGAATCTCTTTGAAAATCTAGTGTTTGGCTTAAAAGGTGTTGTTTCCAAAAGATTGGTGAGGTGAGAAGAGAAGTATTTTTTTAATAATTTTGTGTTTTACAAGACTTTTTGAGCCTCGTGCCTACGTACCAACAAATTGCAATGGAGGATCAAAACCTCGTAGTTTATAGTACAAATAACAAAAGATATTTTTTGATTGATTTTAAATGGGAAGGCAAGTTGTCATTTTAAGGAGAATACTCGACTAGTCACCCACAAGTGTATGAAAATAGACATTTGTATCACTATTGAGAAGGGTTTCAACTTGGATAAAAAGCAACAAGTATGCCACTAACTCTCTCAAGTGGAAAAGAGTCAACACTAAACATAACTATGAAGATAAGAGAATTACATCTCAACTATGAAAATGATTCATGTCTAAACCTTATGAAAAAGTTAAAAGGAAAATGCACAAAGGGATAAAATGGTTTGAATGAGTTAAGTATTTTTTTAAGTCTTTTGAAAATGGTTTTGATATGCTTAAGATTGATTAGCATTTATTAAGAAAGTGAGTTTGAAAAATGAACTTGACAAAGTCAAGGTTTATTATGAAAGTGATTCTAGTTTGAAAGAAGATGGTTTTGAAAAAAAGGGAGAAGCTTTTTAAAATTTAAGAAGGGGAAGATGAAGAGGCTACCCTAAAGCATAAAATAAAAGTTAAGGAAGGAAATACCTAACCAAGATAGCAAGTCTTTGACATAAACAAGCTAAAACTCTCATCCTTTGGACTCAAACAACAAGATGAGCAGAGAAATAACCAAGCATCAGACAAAAACCAAGTCGCCAAGACAAGTCTTCACAAGAGGTCAACTCAAGGTCAAAGTACCAGATAAGATCCAAGGTCTCAAGTCACAACTCCAAAGCATGGGCAAGGAACCTAATTCTAAGTCCATCACTCCAAAAAGTAATGGACAATCACCAAATAGTCCAAGGAACATTAAAAGTTTTTTAATGGTTTAAGCCTTTATTAACATCTTTAAAGAAAAAATAAAGTCAAAATGGACAAAGAGAAAGAGGCGTAAACATAAACAAGATGATGATATGATATGAAATGATAAGCATAAAATAAAGACCATAAAATAAAGAGCATAAAAATAAAGAGCATAAAATAAAAGGCATAAAATAAAAGTGCATAAAAATAAATGGTATAAAGTAAAAGTTAGTACAATTAAAGTTAGTGTTAGTGTTTATGAAGAAGATATTTTGTCATTTAAAGTAGATTGCTCAACTAATAAACCCAACAAGTATGAGATCTTTGTATCATCCTTTGATAATGACTCTAACTTGGATAAAATCAACAAGTATGTCACTAGCTCCCTTAGGTGGAAAAGAATCTACATGCTATGGAGATAAGAGATTTACATCCAAACTAAAGATGACTCATATCTATAATTGGACCAAATAATCACTTTCCGATTAGGGATAAATTTAACACTATGTTAAGCAATCGTAGCACAATCTATAAGGAAGATCATATTATGAGAGTTTGGTCAATAATAATTTATGTACCATACATGTTAGAGATATGATATAAAGATCAAACTCCTAAAACATGTAGTGCAAGTCAAAACAAGGTGGATCAAAACATAAGTCAAGGAAAGATGGATCTGTTACATCAATCAACCTTTCATGATAATTTGGACAAACTTATGCATCAATCCAGAGTACCTCAATTTTAAGTTCTGTGATTTTTGGATTGACTACATTTTGGTAAAACAATATGTTGTTAGTAAGATGTTGAACCAAATGTTCTGCCATGACAGTCAGACATCATGTTCTGCATGATGTTGTGACATGTTCCAGGACATGTTATACCAGAAAGTTAGGGCATGAATATTTTGGTATTTTTAATGTGATTTTTGAGTATTTGTTGATTCACACGTGTGCGATATTCATGGGAGTATATTGTGGAAATTTGTATTATGACAGATTCTGTTAGTTTTCATATAAAGGTTCTTTTAGCCTTTTTAGGAAAGTTTGTATTTTGTTCCTTTTATTGTGCAGGATGATTTGCAATAAGTTAAAACTGATTGCAGCTATTTGTGTGCCTCAATAAGCTCAAGTTCATTAGGTCGACTATTTAAAGTGAAGACTAAACCCTATTGATATAGAGAACAAAACATGAAGAATCTGAGAAATAAGGATTAGCCATGTTTTGGCTGGTCTTTAGGGTTTAGTGTGTGTTAATTGTATGTTACTCATGTATCTTCTAATGCATTAAGGTTAACTGATTGTTCATTGTTCATTATCCACTCTAAAACTTTTAAGCAAGAGTATATTGTTCTTGATTGAAGCTTTTAAGAAAAATCAAGTATTGTCTTGGAAGTGTGCTACCTTTATTTTGTGTAATTGTTGAATTGTCACTAGGATTATGACTGATTAGGAAGTGAGTAGGGGATCTCATATCTAGAGGGTGTCTAGGTAGAAGTTGCACAAGGTAGTGATTAGGCGAGAAGTTGTAAACAGGGGAGTTTAGCTTTGAACTAATACTATTATAGTGAATTTCCTTCCTGGCTTGGTAGCTCTAAATGTAGGTGAGTTGCACCAAACTAGGTTAACAATTCCGGTGTTAATTTTACTTTTCTGTCATTTAATTTTCTGCATTTGTTACTTGTGTAATCAAGCTATTCTTAATCTTGGTGTTGTGACATCTTTTCGACATTTGGTATCTGCGTGCCAGAATTTTAATTGGCATTAGAGCAAGTCACCCTGTTATGCTTTTGGGTGAGCTCCAAGGAGTTTGTATTATGGCACTATGGACAAGGAAGGAGGAGGAAATATTAATAGGCCTTCAGTCTTAGATGGCACTAATTATGACTATTGGAAGGCACATATGGTGGCTTTCTTAAAATCTACAGATAGAAAAACTTAGAAGGTTGTCATCAAGGGCTAAGAGCACCCTATGGTTAAGGATAAGGATGGAAAAGAAACCTTGAAGCCAAAAGAGGATTGGACCAAGGGGGAAGATGAGTCAGCTATTCGAAACTCCAAAGCCTTGAATGATTTATTCAATGGAGTTGACAAGAACATGTTTAGATTGATCAACACTTGTACTATGGCTAAGGATGCTTGGGAAATTCTCAAGACAACTCACGAAGGAACATCCAAGGTGGAAATGTCTAGACTCCAGCTTCTCACTATCAAATTTGAGAATCTGAAGATGAGAAAAGATGAAAGTATTCATGACTTTCACATGAATATGCTTGAAATAGCTAATGCCTTTAGTACCTTGGGAGAAAAGATATCAGAGGAGAAGTTGGTGAGGAAGATTCTTAGGTATCTTCCTAAAACAATTGACATGAAGGTCACAACCATTGAAGATGCCCAAAACATCAGTAGTATGAGAGTTGGTGAGCTAGTGGGATCACTTCAAACATTTGAATTGACCTTGAATGATAGAATTGAAAAGAAGAACAAAAGCATTGCTTTTGTATCCATTACTGAAGATAAAGAGGGTTAAGCTAACCTAGATACTAATAAGGGACTGTTAAATACAATGGTTTTACTTGGGAAATGGTTCAATATAATTATAAAGAGAATGAATAAAAGAGGAAGACCAGGTGTCAAGGAAATCACATCTGATATCATGAATAACTATGATTCTCAAAAGAATACCAGAACTGAAGAAAAGTCAGGTCAAAGTAATGGGATCCAGTGTTATGAGTG